TTTTTTTTTTAAAGATTTTATTGGAGAATTGTGGGAAGGGAACAGCATTGGGGAATTGGGGAAGGGGAACAGACAAGTTGCTGTCCTTTTGTTCTTCAGTCTAGTTGTGGAGGACGTCACACCCACTTCACAGGCCCATGTTGGTATTATCATTGTGCTCTTCCCGGGTGAGGCAGTTGCTTGCCAGCCATTGGACGCCGCTCACAGTGGCTCACGAAACCTCATGCCCACTGCCAGCCAGCCCCACTGCAGCCTATGCCGGCGACTCATGGCAGCCCAGCTCCAGGTCGAGCTGTTGTTCACCATCTTAGCCATAGAGGACGCAGTGTCACTGGCCCTCATATGTGGGATCCGAGCCGGCGCCCTGCTGCTCAGAGCTGGCGTCACAAGCCAACTCCTAACCAACGCACCACTCGGCTGGCCCTCACTAGGTGTCTTTTTTCTCAGGGTTCAAAATTATTTACTTTATGGCGATACACACACATGTATTCCCTTGTGTGAATAGAACACTGTTTGTTTAGCTAGTCCCCCTGGTCATTTGGGTTTTTTTCTTCCTACTAGTTGGGATCCTCCTCCATGAAGCCTGTGGTCTATAGTGAAAGGAAGAGATGCAAACTCCTCTCTTAAGAAAATTAAGCATTTCCTACACTGTTCTCACACTGAGTAAAGCCAAGTCCTCACTGTGGCCACAAGGCCGAGAGTGATCTGACTTCTGCTCCCTCTCCTTCCTGTCTCTCTCCCTTGCTCAGGCTATCCACTAGCACATTGGTTTCCCTGGTCTTCCTGCAACCTCCAAGGACATTTGTACCTCAGGAATTTTGCATTTGTTGTTCCTTCTGCCTGGAACTCTTTCCCCTAATCTAACCCCATGATTCTCTTCCTCTCTTTAGTCATGTCTCTGCTCAGATGTCACCTGAGCATAGAGCCCCACCCCTTCGTTCTATATCACAGACATCCTCCTTCCCTTGGTCTCCCTCACCCCCTTCGTTTCTCTTCATAGCACTTATCCCNTTATGCCTATTTCCTGTATGTTTGAAGATTTCAATAATAAAAAGTAACAAAGGGCATGAAAGAAATACATGGGGCAATGATGAAAGTCAACGTGTCGATCACGAATGGATGAGAAAAATCCTTCCCTTTGGACATGGCAACAGATAGGATAAAGTGAACGGTTTTGTAGGTTGCCTGAAGGAATTCAGCCAGAGGTAATTCTTGATGGGTCGTAGTGGGGAGACAGGAAATCAGCTCACCGCCTACAGCCTGGGCTCCTTGTCAGGGGCGTAGCACTGCTCAAAAGCCAGGCAACCTATGTCCAAGGAGACCTGAAGGACCCATTAGCCCAAAACTAACGTTTAACATAACTGATATTTGGAATGACCGTGTCAAAACGACTCCTGAAGGTGAAAGGCCCCGTTTGCTTTCTCCTAAGACCATTCCTATCTACTTCTCAGAAACAACCCAGTAATTCACTTGAAACCCCATTCCCACTTCTTCCTTGGCGACCTCTGAGATCCTGTCGCTACGTCCCCCCCGACTCTTGTGTTCTATGTTGCAAAATATGCCAGCCGCCTAGAATTGAAGCAACAAGAGCAATGTCCTGAGGAAAGCATGTGTAGCTAGCACCGGGTGGAAAAATCTCTGGAAAATCTCAATATCACACGCGCCCTCCCCATCCCGCCCACCAAGAAAGATGGACAAAATGGCGGAGGCCTGCGACGTAGGCAGCAGAAATGGCGCAGCCTGTACAGACAAAGGAGGGACAGCCCGTTCGCTTCGGCGGCAGGAGTCCTCCCAACCCTGAGCACCCCTAGAGAGCCACCACTCTCTGCGGTCGCCACCCCCACCTTGCGGGGAACCCCCAGGATCGCCTCCGAGCGCGCGCCAGGCCTTTACAAAGGCCGTGACCCCATCCACGCGACAAAGTGGTCGCCGCCACAGCCTGGGGCACCTCATCACGCGCGCGGCCCAGATCTCAAAGCCCCACCACACAAACCTAAAGAAGCCAAAAAGTTAAGACCACAAACAACACTTACTTGCTCCCAGGCGTGCGCGGGGTGCCTCGCGTCCTATTTTATAGCGCGCGCCGCTCGCAAGGCCCGCCCTTTGCTAGTCCGGGCTCCGCCCCGAAGCATCTAGTATACGCGCTGGTTCTGGAAACAGAGCTTTGGCGCTTGGGGAAGGGAACAGTGTCTGTTTCTATTAAATCTTCCTGAAAAGGCAAAGAGACATTGTCCCTGGAGGCGGAGAAAAATAATCAAGGAAATACAGAGCCCGTTGTTCTGTCTTGAGCGTCAGGCAATTCTGTGGATGGCCCCAAAGGCGGGCTGTGAAAGGGAAGGACCCCCCCCGAGTGGGGGCGGGGCCAGAAAGGGAAGCAACCGGAATTGCCAGCGCAGCAGCGGCTGGAGCTGTGGCTGAAGGGGCGGGGCCGACCTAGACGAAGTCCCAGCCGCAGAATGAGAGGCGGGGCCAGAGCTGAGATTGACAGCGGGTGTTCTAGGAAAGCGCGCGCGTGGCGCAGAGTTAGAGGCTGAACCTCGGGAAGGCTGGACTCAGGTTCTGGCGGAGGCGAGGGCTGGGGTCCTGGACTATGGAGTTCAAGAGAGGAGGGGCTCGGCACAGGATTCCTGGGGCTGAGGGAGGAGGGGCTGAGTTCAGGACTCTGAGGCAGAGGGAGGACCGAATTGGAGGCTCACTTCCTGGTTTAGATCGTGGAGGACCTTGTTGACTGGCGAAAATCCACAAAAGAAACGGTTTATTCAGGAAAAGGAACAAGAAACGAAAACCGCCACTACAGTGCGAGAACACACACATCCTACAGGGGCTGCAACCGGCAGCTCACATGCAGCAAAAGACCCCGGTTCCAAGATGGCTAGTCCCTTTATTATGATCCCTCCCCCAGAAATTACCATAAGGATAAACGGGAAATCAGGATTATAGCGTTAACAAGGGGCCCAGCTCCACCTATAGTCCTCCCAACTTTATGGTTAAGCATCTTAAAATGCTACTTCAGTTTATCAGGTGTTTCAGCTCTAGCTGGGAAAACGCAATCTTCGGTCTTCTGTGAAAATGGAAAGTGTCTGTTTTGTTACAGAGAACAAACTGATGGTTGCCAGATGGGACGGGGATTGGGGGGCTGAGTGAAAAGGGTGAAGGGATTAAGAAATACAAATTGGAAGTCACAAAATAGTCACGGGGATGTAAAGTATAGCATAGAGAATATAGTCAATATTGTAATAACTGTGTATGGT